TACGGCTTAATTAGAAGGGACATTGCTCCAATATAGATGGACTCACTTTCAATTTTTTAAAAATTAAAATTTTTAAAATTAAAAATTAAAAAATTAAATTCATAAAAGATAAAAAGAGTGGCGGACACTATATTCTCTATGGCTACATTGTGAATTCCCTGGAAAGCAAAAATACATTCGTCCTCTCCCCTACCAATCTGCTTAACGTTCCTACAGGTATCGGATATGGGGTTCACAAGTGCAATGCAACCAGGTAAAGGTGAGTGTTTAAGTATTCAAGTATAGATGTGACAGAGAAGAGAATTATTATAGGAAGTGATGAGCATTGAGAAAAAAGGGGGTTTAGGATAATACCTCCAAATTGATGTTGAGGGTTTCAGCGACGTGGCGCATGATGGAGTGGACGAGCTTGCTCTTGTTGTACCTCTCCTCGCAGGCCTGGATGTCCTCTTCGGAGACCCTGCGCTTGCTGAGATCGATGTAACCCTTTTCCTTGTCAACACGGAGGACCATGACGGGCTCGATGCGGCCCACCTTGATGAGGCTACTGACGCTGCGAATCCGACGGCGGGAGAGCTCCGAGAACAAGATCATGCCCTCGATGTTGTTGTACTCGAGAAGTGACACGTAAGCTCCCATGTCCGCGATGTTCTTGACCTGTATCATCACCGCCATGTCCACCTCTGGGTACTTCGCCTCGTACATACGACATTCCAGGTTCGGACCCATCCTTCGTCAATCTCTCTCTCTCTCAAAGCGCCGAGTGAGGGTTTTGGTTTTCTTCTGAGGGAAATAGAAATGGAAATGTAAACGGAAAGAAAGAGTACCCAGGAATCCTATCTTCCATGTTCTTGGGCTCTTCGTTGGGAATTTAAGCCCATTTGTGCTTATACTATATACACTTCCCAATTTTCCAAACACATTCCACCTTTAAATATTTTTCCAAAGGTACCTCTAGAAATGGGCTAGTGCAAATAGAAATTAGCGAAAAATGGATCTAGTTGGCCCAATATGTTTTCGGCCCCATGCTCAGAGGCATTTTTATTAAAAGGAAGGGTTTATTGGATAAAACATATTTTTATAGAAAAAGAAAAAATATTAATATTTAGTGATTCCTTTAGAAACGACGTAGTATGGTTGGAATGTAACTGTTGTTGAGGGAATGGTGAAACATAAATGAAGATGATGGAGAGCACCTAAATCCACCCCGAACAATTACAACAAATGAGAGAAATTTTTTATTTAGGAAATGATAGAATATTTACTATAATTTAGTATCATATATATCTTTTGTACATGAAATAAGAAGTACAAATTTGTGAATAATATATATTAACGATAATTAATTTTAAAATAAATGTTTATTATACTGTTTAACCACTCTCTTTCTAAAACTCTTTTATGAAGTTGAAATTTTTTAGATCAATTAAGGTTTTTAGGTTTTTAAATAAATTAAGAGAATGAGGGTTAAATGTTCATTAAACAAAATAATAACAAAAAGATGGTCAATTTATATAGAGAGTAGGTTTGCTTATTCCAATACTGAGTTACATAGTATTTAAAAATGATAACTTATTTTAGTTATTAAATTACTAGAAAAATAAAAAATAAATATCTTATTCTTATTTCTAAATGAATAAACCATATTATACTTATGTTATTTAATTTTTTTTAATAAATTTATTCATAAATATTTATAGAAAAATAAATAATATTTGTCATAACTAAATTACTTAAAAATTAAAAATTAAAAACATATAAATAAAGGATGGTCCTATGTACTGAAGTGGTCCCCGCATAAGCAAAATGTTACACACTTCATCTATTATTATACTTTCTTTTTAGATTTTTTATTTTTTTTGTAGATTAATATTGTTGAATAGAGATGAAATAGGGTTTGAAATTAATGTCTCTTGTGTATAAATCACACATAGAGTAATCTATTTATAATAGAGAGGTACAACTAAAATAGTAAACAGAAGATATTGTGGTTAACAATATCTTAATAATATCAAACTATATCTAAACAATATCTAAACAATGCATACAATCGTATGTGTCAAACTTGTTACAAATATAATCAATTCTAGGCCCCCGTAAAGATTTAGTGAAAATATCTATTAACTGATCACTTGAGTTAACTCAGTCTTGATATCTCCAGACATAATCTTTTCTCGAATGAAATGACAGTCAATCTCAATGTGTTTAGTCTTCTCATAAAAGACAGTATTATAACTAATATGAAGAGCAGTCTGATTGTCATACACAAGTGTCATTTGAGTGACATCTCCAAATTATAACTCTCTAAGCAATTGCTTGAGGCAAACAAGTTCACAGGCAGCTAAGGTCATAGCTCTATATTCTGCTTCTGCACTGGATCTTGTCACAACACTTTGTTTCTTACTTTTCCATGAGATCAAGTTACCACCAATAGAGACACAATATCCAGATGTAGATCTTCTATCTGAAGGAGATCTTGCCCAATCAGTATCTGAGTAGCAAACAACTCTTGTATGGTTATTAGAATCATATAACAATCCTTTTCCAGGAGATCCTTTAATATACTTCAAGATACGAATGACTGCATTCTAATGATCTTCACATGGTGAATTAAGAAACTGACTTACCACACTAACTGCAAAGGAAATGTCATGACGAGTAACTGTAAGATAATTTAATTTTCCAACCAATCTTCTATACTGCTCAGGATCAGATATAGGCTCCCCCTGATTTGGTAGAAGTTTAGTATTGGGATTCATGAGTGTATCAACAAACTTTGAACTCATCAACCTAGTTTCTTCCAAAATATCTATGGCATACTTTTTTCTGAGATATAACAATATCATCATTAGACGGTGTCACCTCAATACCCAAGAAATATCTAAGTTTGTCAAGATCTTTAGTCTGAAAATGGTGATAAAGATGTTGTTTCAACTGAGAGATGTCATGATCATCACTACCTGTAAGAACGATGTCATTAACATATACTATCAAGTAAACACATTCAGCATTCGAGTGTCGATAAAAGATAGAATGATCTGCTTCACACCGAGTCATACCAAATTGTTGAACAATCTTGCTAAACTTTTCAAACCAAGCCCTAGGAGACTGTTTTAGGTCATATAAGGATTTGTGAAGACGACATACTATCTCAGAAGACTTCCCCTGAGCAACAAACCCAGGAAGTTGCTTCATATATATTTCTTCTTGCAAATCACCATTGAGGAAAACATTTTTAACATCCAATTGATAAAGAGACCATTGTTGAAGAGCGACCATGATAATAAATAAACGAACAGAAGTCATCTTTGCCACATGGGATATAATCTCTCTTCTATATAAATCACACATAGAATAATCTATTTATAATAGAGAGGTACAACTAAAAGAGTAACCGAAAGTAAACAGAATAATCAGAAGATATTGTTTGATATTGTGGTTAACAATATCAAACTATATCTAATATCTAACAAATATTATAAAAGTTGTGCATCTTACATCTTATTTTATGAGTGTCTCTTTTAATATTTTAATTTTGAATAAATTATAAATGTATGACTAGCAATATCCTCTCTGCATGAAAGAATCTTAAGTATATAAAAATAAAGGGTAAGTAGTTAATTTATTTATCTTATCCTTAATAGTAATTTTAGCCAATAAAGAAAAACATTGAATGATTTTTCCATGTGGTCACAGCAACAACACTAACAAGCACAAAGGTAGAACAAGTTTGGTGAAATTTTGGTACATATTTGTTTGGAGACAAAATAAAGCAATAATGTGAGAAGCAGAAGGTTAATAATTATAAATTGGTTGAATGTGGGTGATGGATGATTCTCTTTGTCGAAGCGGTTAATGATGAAAGGAGAGAATATGAGGAAAAAAGATGTTGAATTGCATGAGTTATTATTGGTATGCATGCATGGAACATTATCATGGTGGTTTGTTCCTACTCAACGACCAGAGGAAAGAAACAAGATGAGGGAACCATGCACGTACGTTGTAACGTGTCTGTTTTCATCACACAGAAATTCTATTTGTTATCTCTTTGAATTATTACAAAATGTTGTTATTAAGGTTTTCTTTCATTCTGTTTTGTTTTCCCTGCTAGTAAGATAACGTTTAGAGGACTAATGAACTGCTTATTGGATTTAGCTGTTTTTGGATTGGACAAGTAAAAGACTAACTAATGGAAAACATGTTATAAGGATGTAAAGGGCACAGAAAAAGTTAATTGGTAAAATTACAGTGACACACGTGACCCCCATATTCTTTTCCCAATATATTCTAATGGATGATTTGTACTAAAAATGTTTACATACATAAAAAAGGATTAAGAAGGTTTATTTCTCATTGTTAAATGAGATTATTCATTGATTGATTAAATTATAGAGACATTGTGGAAAAAGCATTCCAATTTGCAAACACTCGTGATTTAAATATTTTGTTTAAACTTAAAAAGAAAAGTGTTCTGCACTAATTTGGATATTTGTATATGGAACCCACATGATAAGTACATAATGCCTAGTCTACTTTTGAGGACTTTAATTAATGGTGGCCACATTTTTCACATCCTTATTTTCTTCTCATACTGGTTAGTTATTACAGGCATGTTATTATCATAAACATTTTTTTAAAATAAAAATAGAAAAAAATTAGTTTATGTATAAGATGAAATTAGTTAGTGTACAAGTTAAAAATAAAAAATTTAAATAAATTATATAAAGTAACTTCTACATTATATGTCAACTTATTTTAATTAAAAATAAATAAAACCAACTTTTTTTTAAATCTGTTTAAAGAAGCTCATCTAAACCTATTTATATAAAAACAACAAATAAATGATGGGGTTCTATTTATATGGAGAAAGCAGAACATTATCTTATAGTATTCTTGAAAAAGACCAACTTCTCGACCTATTAAACATTGTTACAAGGAGGAAACTCAATACTAAACATAGTTTGTCTAATCATGACAATACATATATAGGAGCTGGATCATTATATATGTGAAACTTCTCTCCAGTTTTGAATAGCTTGAGACACTACTTGTTCAACTAGTTGTGCATCCAAAGGATTACTATCTTCATTGTTCTCCTGAAACATTCATAATAAATAATTAATTCCATCAATATAATTACAGATAATTTCTTTATACAAGTAATTTTTGTATGAGCACAACGTCCGGAAGTACAAGAGAATCAAAATCTCAAGGTATATATATCAAAATTATAATAAATTTAAAGTGAAACTGGTACTGAAAATATATTAGTTTATCTTTATTTTATTGTTGTTTGTACCTATACAAATATTGCACCAATAATTAGCATTGTTCTTGAGTTTTAATGAGATGAGTGTGTATGTGTGTGTCACATCATTACTTTGTTTCCTAAAGCTTCTAAACTGAAGCTGTCTGCACAAGAAACCCTAGCCTGGAGCACATCAAGACCCAGCTCTTCAAAGGCTTCCAATATAAACACCAACAACCCCTGACAACTCCTTTGACTCAGCACCTTTATCACAAAACCCTCTTCCTGCGTTTCAACTTCAAGCTACAAAATCATTGACAACAAACACAGATTAATCAATTATAACCAACATTTGTTGATAAGGTTAATAATGCTGTAGAGTTTTTCCTGGTGTTACCAGTGGAATATTAAATATACGTTGTATATAAATGTTTCAATATTATAAATACTTTCTTTAACGTTTGAATCAATCAAGTGATAGAAAGATATTTTATTGGTTTTCAACTCCAACCTTATCTATGAAACTGTTTTAAACACTTGGAGAAGAACTTTAACATTTTTAATGATTTTACCAAATCCGATAAAATTGTTTTCCCTTCTTTTCTGAAGTATTAGATGATGATATTCTCTTACCTTAGGCATTGGATCATAGTCAGCGTTTTTCCAAGCCGTTGCAACTGTTAATTGGTTCAACTCTTGCAACTTTTTCTTCAAACACTGTATGTAATTTGACACATCCAATAACACTGAGGCTTTAGGTCGCTGCATAAACACGAAAACGTTCCGTGATATCTTCAATTATATTGAACAAAATATGCATTTGGAGGAAAAAATACAAGCAAGAGATGAGATAGTAGAATTTGTATGTCTAACTGTTATTGAATATACACACAAGAGAAAAGAGATTATCAAGTGAATACATATTGACTGAGAAGTCTCCCTAGAAAGTTTGGTTAATGAGATGAAGTATATGAGAGAAAGAGAATGAAAAGTGATCACCGTGATGGAAAAAGTTTGTCCAGAAACTGAAAGGGGGGGGGGAATAAGGCATGCAAACTGGGAAGAAAGAGATGTTTCAGAGTAATCACCGAGTGAGAGTATCTGATTGAACGAAGCAGTTGTAGGTTCCTGTACATGGCTGTTCTCTTGTGAATCCTTGAAACCATTCTCTCTCTTTATCAGACACACTCTCTCTCTCTCTCACAAGAGAACTATATGCAAAGAAATCTAACCTTTATTTGATGGTTTATAAAGAGGATGAGGACACAGAATCTTGTTGATCACATGTGATGCAGTTTTGGAATTACAAAATGCATGAAATGTTTAACTTCGATCAAGGGTCTTGTTTTTTTCCTCGTGAGATATTCATTGTCACTGATCCAATTTTGTTCTTCTCTCAAGCTAACTAAGACCTAGTGTGACACCTTTGTTTTAAGGGGACGGTATAAATAATAAATTATTGGGATTTTTTTTTAATTTGAAAAATTAAAAACAAAAAATTAATTACCAAATAATTGAATAACTAAACAAAATTGACCAGTAAAAGTAGGAAAACCACAAAGGATATTTTTATTAGTCCAACTCTTTTATCATGTAGCAAAACTATATATTACACTATAACTATTGAATGCTAACTTCATACAAGGGAAAAAAAAAACACGAGTTTCAATCTTATTGTAGCGTAGAATTATCATGTATATGATTTTCTCTTTTTCAAATACATGGAGTTAATTGATATGAGTTAAAGGGAGTGAACCATAGTATGATGAAAAGTTAATCTAGTAGGAGGAACGGAGTTTGATTTGCCACATTCTAGAGCAGTCAAAGTGGATAACAGAGAAAGGGACAACATGTGCAAGCTGGTGTACGTTTGTCCCGTGTGCAGCGGTTCATTATAGACAGTGATGAAAGAAAAAGTGTGTGGGGTCATACACAGGGAAAGAGAAAACAGTGAAATGAAACATTCTTGTGCATGGGAACGTGTAAAAGTGGTGAAGTTAAAGAGTGGTGGTGGTGGTGCATTGGCAGCAAGCATAGTGGGGTTATGTTGGAAGCTGGCTAGGAAAGGGAATCTGAACGTGGGTTAACGCAGTAGGAAGTAGCTTAGCAGCTACCAAGATGTGTCAAAAACATGTTATAGCTTTAGGTGTCTTCTTTGGATGCCTCCAAGCTTTTCTCACGGGAAACCCTTTCTCTCTCTTCTTTCTCTAACTATCTCTACCCACACAGTTCAGAGAGTTTTTGGTTCTATTATCAAGTACTGCAAAAACAAAAATTAAATCATGTCATTTCTTCATTATTCTCCACTTTCCTCCAAAACAAAAACCAAAAACGCTTTGTCTTTCTCTTCTTCCAGTCCTTTTTATTTACCTGTCAATAAATCGTGTGTTTGGTTCAACTTATTTGTTTATTTTATTTGTTTTTAAGAAAAATTGAACTAAAAATACTATTTAGGGATGGATGGTTAATTATGATTTGGTGTTTAAATTGATATGCTTAGTTTAACGAGATAATCTAGCAGATTAGTGTAATGGGATCATTTATTTTTTTACTAACTTGCCTCATTTTCATGAGTCAAAGTGACTTAAAGAAGAAAGAGAGAAAAAAAAGTAAGCAAGTTTCGATTGCTGAGAGATTTTCTCAGACTTTCAAGGGAAAAAAACTAAAATTTTCTATTGTATATATATATATATATATATATATATATATATATATATATATATATATATATCTTAGTGTGTATTATTGTTTCAGAGTGAAATCACAGTTTTCCATGAATGCAAATCACACTCATTTGTTTTGGTTCAACACGTATTCTTGGTGTATCTTTCTGATATTAGAACCAACAATTTCATGATAAAAATCCCACATGTTTTGTCAATAATTGTTTGAGTTATAATATATAAAATATTCAGCAAATCGCATTGCTTAGAGAGCACTCGAAATTTCCATGGAAATGCTATGAAAGCTAAAAGATACGCGGAAAGGAACTGTGGCGTAGAAAGACATGAAAGTGACAAACAAGTGTGATTGTTTGATAGTAAACACAGCTATGATAGCTGTGGAAGAATTATGATCACCATAGTCAATGACTATGTTAATTAAGAAGATATTTTTTAACGATTTAATACATCATATGGGATATTAAATGAAACAAATTGAGATATTTCCTGATCAAGATGAAATCATCATTAGTTTGTGATGAATAATCCAAATAAAAAATCATCATTAATTTACGATGAATAACCCAAATAAAGTCCCATTTACTTATGATCGATAGAGAAATTCATAAAAAGTTTTTTCAAGAATTATTTCACTAAATGGAAAAATGTTGATTTTGATATTCTCATTAATTCGTATAAAAATATGACAGAGTGAACTTACTTATTATAATCAGGATGGGTCACAATTTTTTGTCAAGATAAATATATTTTTAAACAAATAAATATTTAATTATATGATTAATTTTTAAATTTTTATTTATTAATTAATATTTTTATTAGATAAATTAAAAATATTATATTTATGTGTTAAAATAATTAATTATAATTAATAATTTAAATTTAATTAATTAATTAATTTTTATAATTTAAATTATAATATTATAATATATTTATATTTTTTAGTAAAATAATATAAAAATATAATATTTTTAATTATAATTCTTTTATTTTTATTTTAATATATAAATATTTGGCTAAGCCTAACTAATCTCTATATTTTACATCAACCAACTTATTTTTTATTCCAATTTTAATAAGGAATAGAATCCATTTAACATTTAACTTTTCTTAACAAATTTTATTACACTAAAATTTTATAGAATTTTAAAGATATTAAAAATAAGAAAAATATTTACAAAATAAAATAAAAACTGATCTTCAAAATTAAATTTAAGCATATCAAAATTAATTTCAAAACTTAACAAGTTTTAGTACACAATTTGTTAGATAAAACTTACCGATAAATTTATTAGAACAAGACCGTGAACGTGAAATCATGGTTTCAACTCTGACAACATTTCCGTAGTAGAATAATGTTGGTATATATATAAACTCATTTTTTATTCGTGTCTTTATAATATATGAATAATTTTCTTTTAACCTCTGTTTTTTTTTTCAGAAAATAATAATTCGAAATGAACAAAATGTTATATATATTAAAAAATATATTAGAATTAAAATGAAATCAAGAAAGTGAAAATAGAAAAAGTAAGGATTGTTTAAAAATAATTTTATTAGAACAAAAAATGATTTCTAATAAATACAAAAAATACACATTTAAATATTAAAAAAAACACGGTAAGATTGTTAATGTCCTTTTTGTTAGTTTTTTTCTTCTAAATGTATAATAGTGATTTAAAAGAATAAATTATATAACTAATATATATTAGTTAAAATAAAATAGTTACAAAACCTTTTTTTCTAATTTTACACAAGTAATATGTTATTGGTAAGCAAATATTTATACAATAGAAATAAAAATAATTTTTTAATCCTATTAAACTTAAAAATTATTTTCATCTTATTTAGTTAATATAGAACTTCAACATAACTAACAAATTAAAAATACACAAGTAACATAATATTTTGTTTGTTATATATCTAGACTAATAAATATAAAAATTAAATAATATATTGTTAATAAATAATAAATATATGTATATATAAATATGAAAACTGTGAGAATCCCATAATCTCCAAACCATATATTTGGAGCAATATGATTGAGTGTGATGACTACAAGGTTTATGTCCTACATTATTGTACTTGAAAACATGTTAATTACCCATTTGGCTCCGAGTATATATGCATCAAGATGGTTTGAAAATCTTATCTCAAATAAATTATATATTCTACGCAATCATTTATTTTCTTTTAGCCTGTGTTTGTTTGAACTGATTTACTGTTCACGAAGAATGAAATGAGAGATTCAATTCGTTTGTTGCAAGTGATTTGAGAGGATTTGCAGGTGCGGATTTGAGGGAGAGGGGAGAAAAGCTCACCCTGAAGTTTTGAGAGGATTTGCGAGGATAGCAGAGAAAGACACATCATCAAATAAAAAATGACTTAATTACCCTTCTCCATATGATAGCGGTTAAATCTTAACCGCTATCTAATATATATTTTAGATAGCGGTTAAACCAAAACCGCTATCTAATATATATTTTAGATAGCAGTTAAAATAACCGCTATCTAAAATATATATTAGATAGCGGTTAAACCATAACCGCTATCTAATATATTTAAGATAGCGGTTAAACCATAACCGCTATCTAATATATTTTACATAGCGGTTACAGAGGAACCGCTATTATATCCTCCAATTATGATCGATCATTTCGAAAATCTAATCGATCAGAATAAAATTTCGCTCGAGCGAGATATAGTCGCTCAAGCGAAACACGAGACTCAATGGTTGTATATAGGGAGCTTATAATAGCGGTTAAACCTTAACCGCTATCTAATATACACTTTAGATAGCGGTTACAGAGGAACCGCTATTATATCCTCCAATTATGATCGATCATTTCGAAAATCTAATCGATCAGAATAAAATTTCGCTCGAGCGAGATATAGTCGCTCAAGCGAAACACAACCCGAGACTCAATGGTTGTATATAGGGAGCTTATAATAGCAGTTAAACCTTAACCGCTATCTAATATACACTTTAGATAGCGGTTAAAGAGGAACTGCTATTATATCCTCCAATTATGATCGATCATTTCAAATTATGATCGATCAGGATCTTGTTTCGCTCGAGCAGAGTAGTATCGCTCGAGCGAATTACAACCCGAGATCGAATCTTAAAATATTTTTTTGAATATTATGTTTTTTAATTTGCTATTAGAGAAAACCTTTCAGAATTAAAAATGTTAAATACTTTTAAATATTAAAATTAACTTTATCAAAAATAAGGAAAACAAAATTTATCCAAAAGAGTTCAAAAATGTATAAGAGTATTCTCAATTTTGAGTTTAATTATATTGTTCATTCTCAAAGTAGAAATTTATATTGTAATTATTTTAATTTACATTTTGTGATCTTCTTAAAATTAGCATCAATAACATTAGACTTTACATTTGATTCATACCTAACTAATTATAGATTAAAAGGAAAGTGGTATAACCATGCATTTTACTTTTCTATTTACTTTATTCTTTTAATTATTTTATATAATAATAATCAAAATATTCACATTCATATGAGCATTTTCGAAAATAATATTATTGTATTATTGTTAAAATTAGCATCAATAACATTACACTTGATCTTCTTAATTATATTGTTCATTCTCGGAGTAGAAAATTATATTGTAATTATGTTTAATTTATTAAAAGTGTAATTAAATCTCTATTTTCTTAATTTTTTTGTTTCAAACTTCTCAATTCTACATTTTTGTAACTTCTATCATTATATTATCATCCTCATCTCCTCCCATGTTCTACTTTATCTTTACAATAGTTAATATTCTTAAATAATCTATATTTTTAATTATAATTTTTTAATATATATTTAGAAATTAATCAATTCTAAGCTATTATTTGAAAAACTAATCAATTCTAATCAATAATTTAGAAAAATAATCGATTAGAATTAATTATTTGAAAAAATTATCAAATATGATCGATCATTTCGAAAATCTAATCGATCAGAATCAAATTTCGCTCGAGCGAGATATAGTCGCTCAAGCGAAACACAACCCGAGACTCAAGAAACTTCAAATATGGTTGTATATGATAGCGGTTCCACTGGAACCGCTCTTAAAGGAGCTTATAATAGCGGTTAAACCTTAACCGTTATCTAATATACACTTTAGATAAGCGATTACTGAGGAACCGCTATTATATTCTCCAATTATGATTGATCATTTCAAATTATGATCGATCAGGATCGTATTTACTTCGAGCGAGAGTATAATCGCTCGAGCGAAATACAACCCGAGACTTGAAAACTTCTTTGTATCAGTTAAAATAACTTGAAAAGTTTTATAAGAAAGTTTTAAAGTAAATCAATCGATTAAAACGCAAATCAATCGATTGAATCACACTTAGAAAATGTTTGTAAAATGTTTTAAGCTGATATAAACGTGGTTGTATCAACTAAAACAATTTTGATAAAGAAACAAGAACGCATTAATGGGTTGAAAGGACTTTTAACAGATTATAACGGCTATTTCAACAGATTAAAACAAACTTTCAACAGATTAATTAATGCGGCAGTTTTGAAATTACTCTTTAAAATCGAGTTGCTTGGAACTTTTTAATCATTAAGTTTTTACACATCCTAGGCAATCAAATTCAAGCAACTATTAACATCCTTTTCAAGAAAGATACTGCAACTTGTTTTGTGAAGCTTTTTGAAAATCTTTCTTGAGGCATATTGCATTCTTTAAAAGAAGAAACTTACGATGGATTAGCGTAATCCGGTTTGAGCTTTCTAAGTCTCTTCTTTTCAATTACTCGTTAATTCTTTTGTATTGTGTTGTACCTGGAATTTGGGTACAAGTTTTCTGCAGTTGGTAGGTGGTTGTAGAAGTTTCCAAGAAGCTGTAATAACGGTTATTCTATTTTCACTGTATTTTATATTTGTTTTAAATAATAATGTACAATTATATTATTAGTTTTCATAATTATTTGTTATTATCAGTCAATATTAATTATTATTTTATATTTTATAATTATTTAATTATTAGTCAAATAATTTATTTAATATGTCAACATTATTTGAATATGGATATGCAATGTACATAATTTTGT